TAAAAGTAGATTTACTTACAACAATTATACTCGTACTAAAATTTATTTACTATACACACATCCAAAGCATTTTTTTTTTGTTCTACAAAAAAATATATTTCCTATAAGTAATTGGTGGCGAATATCGTACTCTTTGCCGTAACGGCCATGTTGAAGAATATGACGTACGTCCAACCCGAAAAGAGGGTTTTTCTTGTGGTGCCGTGAATTCTGCTATCTCCTCTGTATTATCTTCCCAATCTTCATTCTCCTCTGTTGTATTCTCATTGAAATATTGATATTTGCTATGATTCTTTTCATAGTCTTTTATTATTTTGTTAAACACTAGCATATTTGATGATTCATCCCACTGTTCGATGCCCGTCTCATCACTAATCCAATCCAGATATGAAGCAACTTTTGTAAATGCAGCTGGATAACCGAGATTACAGCCATGTATGCTACCGAATGATGTAAGTCCGATGAGTATACGCTTTTTCGTGTGTTTGCGACGTATAACGAGAGGGCCACCCGAATCGCCATTACAAGTGGAACGCGCATATTTGCCACTTGTACAAATATTCGTACTACGATAGGAGAGTGGATAACTGCGTTTGCAGGTATAGCCGTCAACGACGCGTAGTTTCACATAACGCAATACATTGCTAATGGCATGTGCACCGACTGCGTAACGACCCCAGCCCGAGGCGATAGCCAATTTATTTGTAAATTCTCGATATTCATAGCTCCGTCGTGGTAGCGGAATCGGGCGTATGCGATCTGCAAAGGTTAAGTAAAAATAACATTAGATACATATGTACATACATTCAAGTTGCATTAGTTTAGAATTCTGCAAACGAAGAATGCAGGGCTCCCCAAGTAGCTTAGTTTTTAAAAGCTCGTCACTTTAAAAGCTATATCAGAAACACTTTGAAAGTCCTAACGCTCAAGAAGGGATAGAAAGCTATTATTACTATAGCAGTTCGAAAAGAAAGTGCCCAGTGATTGTCGTTCTATTAGTCGGTTTAGTTTAGAAATCTGAAAGTTCGCTATAAAGGAAGGTGGGTGGGGGTTAGCTGACCCATCAGGGGTGGGGTACATAGATACAATATAAATTCCAAGGTGCAACTTTTAACTCACAAGACTAAACAAGATAGTAACAGACGTTGATCTCTGTGTTCACACCGCCTCCCTATGCAATAGTTCACAGTAGTACCGGGCGGTGATACGGTACAGAACGGTAGGAGGTTTAGTGCTATTAAAGTTCCACACTGACGGGGTTAAGGCTTTCGATGCTTCCTCCTGTGAAAAGCAAGGGTGAATGGAAGAGTGCCAGCCTTTGGTAGTGATTCCGGTCAATGTCTTCAACTATGTGTCAAATTTGGGCTGTAGAGTTCGAGCAGGTGTGTTCTGTCAGAATTTTTGCGCAAACCGCAATTGAAAAGGCAGTCGACTGGCTATATACCGATTGTAGGTAAACATCTATTCTGATGAATTTGTCGCAATCAAGGCACTATGTTTATTTATGATATGTTTTAAACTTTTCGCTGATTACCTGACCCCTTTCGCGATCGCTCAGATCACGTCCTAATCAAGCTAATTTGTGCACCAGGACACAATGCCATTTCAGGAAACTGCATGGCTGATAATACCATCCCTCCGGGCATAGAGGGCAACGGAGTTCCTGTCTCAACCTTTGGGCTTCTCCTGGCTAGATGGGATTGTAGTTGGTTCAGACAGCGCTGGGCGAAAACACGGCATGCAATGTTCTAAAGTTCTGCGATTCGTAGACGGTCAAAGAAACTCCTGCCGCTGGCAAAGCGTCAACTGTTGGTTCTGATACGGCTGTTTGGAAGGTGATGATGTGAAACGTTCAGAACCAGACCGATGAATCCGCCTTAAAGCACTGCACCACGAGTTCAAATACTTCTACATATTTATTTGAAAGAAAATTTATGATTTCCTAAAACTTTTGGAGAGCCCTTCAATCTCTTATGTATTTTAATTACAAATATACTTACCGTTCAAATGAATTGGTATGGGTAAACGCACCAACGCGATATCATTCTTGAGTCGGCGAGGATTCCACGTTGGATATATAATGA